AGTCAATGTGTCTGATTCTAATCAGTCATGTGTTGCCTTGGATCATGTTTCCTAGCTTGATTTCTTCTCTTTGTCCTAGTGTCTGCTACCTCTCCTAAATCCTAGTAGGTCCTGTTTTTGTTCCGTGTGGTTAGTTAGCTTTAAGGAGCCACTGGGTGATCCCTCCATAAAGCCAGCATTGAATGTATTGAAATGCCTCTTTCTGGAAGAGCCCCTGTGGCTCCATGATTTCCCTTCTCCCCTTCCAAATTCGTCGGTTCATTGTGGGTTGCTCATCAACTCCAGAAGTGAGGTATTGATGCGATTAAAGAGCTGGTGCGGGCCTGCCTAGTAGTAGTAATTAGTACAATGAGTTTTGAGCTAGTTGTAGTGAATCCTTTGTGGTGTGTGAATCATTTGTGAAATTGTTTGGTGGTTTTGAGACTTCATTTTCTGTGAACCCTCTAGATGTCTGTACTCGCCTATTTGTACTCGGCTAGTTTTGCTAGCTCAGGTTGAGCTTTGCCTCTAGTCCTGAATCTCAACTGTCAATCAACTGGTAATTATCTAAGTGTAATTACAGGATGAGAGCAACGTTCATGGCTATAATGGATGATAGAGTACGCCCAGTACTCTTTGTCGTATAGAGCTTTGAAAATACTGACAGATTTGGCCTCCACACCACCTCACTTAACTTGTTGCAAAAGAAAATTTTCTAATAATTTTTCGGCACCTTTGTTTCTTTAGCTCGAATCAGTGTCTGCTTGTTCGTGAAGTTGCTGGTTTCAGGAATTCCTCTTAGTCAATTTGGTCGATTCTTGTTAGTATTTTGAAAGTGGTGGTCATATCACTTCTCTTTCTTCTAACTTCTAGGTTTGGCATGTTTAATCCCCAAACTGCACAAAACGTCATATGAAGTGTGACATTGAGCTCAGTTTTTTAAATTTTCTGAAACTCTTTCAAATGTTTTGTGCATAATCTACTAGGCAAATGCTCCAACTTTGTCTAAATGATAACACTGTAACTTGGAAAACAAGAAAATAAAAAATAATTTGAATACTAAAAACTTCAGATATTGAAATCAGCTGCAAAGATATAAAATATCACCAATTGTTCATTTGGTGTTATAATCTCAGAATAGCATATGATTTTCATTTTCGTATATTTAGAATATAGGTTTTTGGTATAGTTTACTGTAAAAAAAATTGTCAATATGGCATTTGAAATATGCGCAAATTTAAACAAATTTTTTTAATTCGAAACGTTTAGAGTTTATGAAAAATCAATTCTATAGGGATTGTAGAACAGACAGCTGTGCACACTATATGTAAAAATGGAGAGAATCGGTCAGAAACTAGATTTTTGGATACTGAAGTAAGTTGAAATTCTAGTTTAGATATAATTGAAGTTATCGACAATGAATAAGGCAACAACTAATTCATGAATTTACTTGTATGTTTTAATAAACATTCTTTGGCATTCGTACTTGAATATGTGAAAGTTGTAGGTTAATATACTTTACATAAGTTAAAAGGCCCTAATCTGGTCCCTAATCATCAAAACAACCTAAAGAAACAAGGAAAATAGTTTGACATCTGTGAAAAAAATCAGCCAAAAAAATTCAAAGTCCCAAGTTCTGAGAGGTGTAACTGATTAATCTCCTCATAGCTCATGTTGCTCAGTTCCAGAAGACATTTTGTAGTATGCCATTGCACCTTTTCCAGTTTCCTTATGTGCTTCTTGAGATTTGGGCACTGTACAACAGCTGCATATTCCAGTTTTGGTCTCACAAGTCATGAACAGTTTCTTTAGTATTTCACCATCCATATGATTAAAAGCAAGTCTGAAGTTAGAAAGTGACGCATACGCTCCTCTCACAATGTTCTTTATTTGTTCCTCTGGCGACAGCGTACTATCCAAAACTGCCCTCAAGTCTCGTTGTATATTCCGTAATTCCTTTCCACATAATTTGCGAGTTGTATGTGTGGTCTATTATCACAGATTCCACATTACATAACATGGCATTTATTCACACTGAATTCCATTTGCCACTTGACACTCCAAGCACTTGTTTTACTAGATCAATTTGAAGGACATGACAAACATCTACATTCCTATCTTCCCCAGTAGCTTATCATCATTTGCAAACATATTCATATAATTCTATATTCCTTCTGGTAGATCGTTTATGTAGACGATGAACATTACTGGTGCAAGACCTGAACCCTTGAGGTTATCTTGAGATGATTTTGGGGCTTAGTGTCCTGCGGCCCGGTCCGCGACCAGGCCTCCACCCCCAGGAAGCAGCCTGTGACAGCTGACTAACACCCAGGTACCTATTTTACTGCTAGGTAACAGGGGCATAGGGTGAAAGAAACTCTGCCCTTTGTTTCTTGCCGGCGCCCGGGATTGAACCCAGGACCACAGGATCACGTGTCCAGTGTTCTGTTCGCTCAGATGCCGGCTCCCAGAGTACCCTGTGGTAATCTGCTATTAACACTCCTCCAGTCAGATACATCATATCTGATTACTGCCCTCATCTGTCTGTCAATTAGAATTTTTTTTGTCCATGTTAGAAGTCTCCCTGTCACCCCTCCAGCATGTTCCAGTTTCCGGAACAACCTCTTGTGTGGGATTCTGTCAAAAGCCTTTTCTGTGGGGAGCCCCTACGGCTCCCTGGAGCTTATCGGGCTCCAGCCTAGTGGACCAAACTCTCACAAGTCAAGCCTAGCCTAGGGCCGGGTTTGGGGAGTAGAACAACTCCCAGAACCCCATCAACCAGGTATCAACCAGGCTAATGTATGTTATATTAGACCAGGACATTAGCTAAGGAGTTCAGACCTACCAGGGACCAACGCCAGAACCTGGCCCCTTCAGAGAGGTTTCAGGGAGCAATGGCCCTGGAAAACCCCCTTGTGGTTGGGGTTTTCCTTATCTGCCATCGACCGGGGTTAGGCACCCAGAAAGGTAGGCATAACAAAACAAACCCCACATTGTAAAAAACTAAAACAAAAAACTGAACAGAGAGGTAGAAACTCCCTACAATCCCAAGGAAACAAGCAAACATCACACTTTACTGCCGCGCCGATCGTCTGCGTAGCCTTCCCCGCGCCGGCTGCCTAGCATCAGTTCGTAAGCTAATGTCAGCCGGGATAGACACTTCTCTGGCCTCAGTTTCCTAGGTGATGGTTGCCTTGTATGGCGTTCACTGCCGTGTGTTGTGTTGTGCGGTGGCCAGGTGTTCCTCATCAGAGCCGGGGCTGCATGCACTTAGGGGCTTCCTTCCCTAAGTGCCCTGTGAGTACTGCGTGACAGGATTATCTTCTCTGGGGCATTCGGGAACCATTCCCGTAGAGGTTCTTTCGGCTCAGCATTTGCCGTGCCCTTGGGGCCAGCTGGGGCTTGGGGCCCTTGTTTAGCCTTGGGTAGGGACTGGTATTGTACTGATTAGGGCGTCAAGGTGTTGCGTGATCTGCCACCTAAGCGGCGACCGGTTCCTGTTGCCTCTGGAGACGGTGTACTTTTGCGGGATTTTTCTTTTGTTTTTATTTTCTTTTGCCTGGTGGGGGTCTGCCCAGTGTGGCTATAGTTCCACTGGTAGTGTTTGGTGGCCCTCTGTTAGGCGCCCGCGATTGTACACGTAGCAGGGGTTTTCAGTGTTGTTCTCTATCCCCTTGTTATTTTTGGGTTTCTTAATCGATTATCAACACCTTGCCCAGGCTTTCCGTAGTTGTTACCCCTACGAGCCCTGGAATCCCCTGTCGGTGCTCGGTGGTCCATTGAATGTGTCTTCTAGGTTCCAACCCATCTTGTACGGGATCGTTGGTTGCTGTGCCCTTGTCTCCGGGTGACAGTCTCCACTTTTACCTCCAGTTATGCTGCCTGTTGGGTCACTGACACCTTGACCTGGAGTCTTGCGAGAGAGATTCTCTGCTTGTTCTCCAGTACTCTCCTGATGTTATTGCTGTTCAGAGTACAGGCGGCATCCGTGTTGCAAGCTAGGTTAGGTTGCTGCAACATGCTAGGTAGTTTCCCACTCGGATGCCCCAGGGTTTTGGTTAGGTGTTGTTCGCCCCTTTCCCTCCCTGTTCCCGGCTCCGGACCGTCTGCGGGTTTCGGGGTTGGGGTGGGGTTTAGTTGGGGCCGAGATTCGGGCAATTTCGGGGGCTGCCCCGTTCGGGTTGGGGACGGAGGTTTTCGAGCCTGTTCCTCCTGCCATGGGGTCCGTCTAATTACCACAAGCTACACAAGCTTCACAAAGCTTCCTGGCAATACGTTAATAATGAATAAATATGATATGTTAGGTTAGGTTGACCTAACCCAACCTAACCTAACCAAACCTAACCGACGCTTGGATCGTCGACTTGATTTGGGGTCACCAGCTCTTTATTTTCGTGTAATTTCTTTATAAAAAGATACTTTTTCAGATTAAAATACTGTTTTTTCGTGTTGTACATTCAACACCAACATTATAATGAGTAAATATATCATATTTATTCATTACTAACATATTGCCAGGAAGCTTAGTGAAGCTTGCGTAGCTTGTGGTAGCTTGTGGTAATTAGACGGACCACTGCCAAGGCTTCTGGGTCTTACCAGCGGCCCTTTCTTGCTGCCTTTCCCATGGACTCTTCCTTTTCTTTAAGGGTGGAGGGCTTGGAGGACGTCTGTGCCCCGGGGCCTCTGTTGCGGGTTTCCGGGGCTGTGGGGGTTGCCTGCCAGCCGTTCTGTGGCTGTTTGACCCTGCCGGGGTTTTCTGCTTCTGGGCGGAGTTTTTTGCCCATCCAGTCTGCTTGCTTCCCACTTTGCTGGCGTGTTTTCATATCTTTTGCGTCGGTCACAACCCCCTGTTCTGGTGGCAATTTTCTTCTCCCGGTTTTCCGGCGTGGCCACCAGGGTGGCGTTGCGGTTTGTTTACATGCGCCTGGGTGTGCGAGCGAGCGTTCTTGGGTGAGTTTTTCACCTTCTTTCAGGGGTTTTATTCTCCTGTTGTCATTTCTTTGCTTTTCTGGTGTTTTCTGCCCGTTTTCTGCTCCTCTGGGAACATTTGAGATGATTTTACACGGGGTTTTCCATTTTGTCTGTTTTGGGTCTGGGCCCTAGGGTTTGGGTTCAGTGTCCCTGACTGTTATGCTTGCTCCCACACCTTGTCCCTCGGTTTTTGGTCCGTTTTGACCGTTTCCCTTGGGGTTCTGTCTGGGGGCTTTGCTTTGCCTTTCTGTGGTGTATATCCGCCGGCAAATATGGTGGTTTGGGCTCCCCCTGGTTCGATTCTGGGTTCCTTTGGGTTCTTTGGTTTCGTTCCGGAGGTTTCTTCCTCTTGGGCTTCCTTTGTGGGTTCAGGGGGCTTTGTTTTCTCTTGTCTTGTGTTTAACTAGGTATGTGCAGACGTTTTGGAGGCGTATTCTGGTTGGGTGGCAGATTGTCAACCACTCTCTGTGAGAGGGCCGGATAGGCCAAACATAAGTTCAGCGACTGATTGGATCTTTTCGTACACAGCAGTTTCAGCAAAATAGCTTCAGAGAGCCACCAGGGCTCCTCCAGAAAGAGGTGTTTCATTACAGTCAATCCTGGATTTTTATTCAAACTTATTTTACTGTATACTGTACTTGAATTCAGTTATGCCTCTCCTGGTATATAAAATAAAATAAAATATTCAAATTTGTTATTAAAGAATATCGTACTGCTCTTACCATTGGTTATATGTTATGCCTCTCTTACTTCTTGGATGTTTTGCATCTTTAAATATAAACATTATTTCAGCATTTTTTCAGTATTGGCTTATACAGTACACTTTATTTGCTTTAAATGATGATTGTAAATTATTAAGGATCATTACAAGTAATGAAGGCTGAAAGTTGTATACTAAATGTATAGGCTTGATTTATTCTGTAAAAGTTGAGTATACAAATTTCTATATTGCATTCACATTATAACACTAAATGAAGTTTAAGTACATGCTTGACCACCGTGCTGCGCCGAGTTTATTGTGAAATTCCCCGTGTGCATGAAATAAAGTGTTCCCCCCCCATAGATCTTTTATCTTCATGAAATGATAAATTCCCTCCTTGAACATGTCTAAGTAAAAATAAATACCAAATTCCACTTACTTTGTGGGGACGTGGACAAGGTGCACTGTGATCTCATCAGGGCCTGGTCGCCCGTGCATGACACGCCCAGACACGGTCGCACGGGCCATTCAAGCACCGGGTGTTGCCAAAAATATATTTTCAATTATTTGTTCAATGTATTTCCAATGCGGTTTTATTTGTATTTTTTATCGTATATGATGCATATACGTGTCCTTTACAATATGTATACAGTAGAACGTTCATAATGTTCCATGGAACTGTGATACATGTGTCAGTAATGTGTCCAAAATAAATGTTTATTGTCGCAATATTACTTGTTAAAAATCCACAAAAATTACACTATGTACAGTTTCACACACTATTTACACAGTAACACACTGTATTACACACTCAGTACTATGGAGGTGAGTAATAATCAACGAAGTAGCCCCATGGTACACAGCGCGACTTCGCTCTCGTTGCACCAGGTACAGATAAATTTTCGCCTCCCGTTTCTTCATTCTGTGTGCTTGCAAATAACGCACTCACGTACACCCTTGGCTTTAGTACTTGTAGGTTGTATGTAGCCAAGCTTGTAAAGCATAAAGTAATATTGAAAAGATTATAGGAAAAGATAAATTTGTAAGATCTTGAAAAGATCACTTTGTATGGTCCCTCATAGGAAGAGATTCAGCTTGCCTCAAAGAGTGTCTGTCAGTCAGGAAGAGATTCAGGTATTCTTGAAAATATCTATGGAAAACACCACCATGGAAGCCGCTAACACTGTTCATCTATGCTACTTATATCAGATGCATCATCACTGAACGCAGAAAATGATTCATCTATGTATCATCTAAATAAACTGAAGATAGCATAGGATTTCAAGGGTGACGCTCAGAGCTACAACTGGATGCGCTCGCTGTATCATCCTCATAGGTGCTCTATCACTTGCATCCGACCTTTGTGTTAAGTCCTTACTGCACCTAGCTTCACCAATATTATGACCCTTATGTTCTTCAAACAATAAGGTTTGAATTTCACCGACAGAGTGTTATCTTTCAATACCGTGTCGGACAGGTGTTTGGGAGCCAGAGGCGCGTGTGCCACCCATGGTTGCTCATTCAGTACTAACCCAGCCAGCAGCCCTAGGGCATTATGGGTATTTTTTCCAAGATGGCTGCCTCTCACTGGAGGTCTTAAGAGTCCATTTCGTACACAACCAACCTTGCACACATTTAGAATGGGTACGGAAAAATCAAAAAGAGTTTTCGTGGTTGATGCAGTTTCCTGCTGACCGAGAATACTTGGTTGGCGCAGTTAAGTAGTTAAACTCCATCTTTAGAGTTCTTGTTTTTCTTTTCAGTATGGGCGTAGTAGAACATCAAGGACTTATTTACATCGTCGGTGGTTGTACACACAGCCAGCGACACTTGCATGACCTTCTCTGCTATAACCCAGTGACTGGAGAGTGGCAGAATCTGGCACCAATGCTAACTCCACGCAGTCAGATGGGGGTTGCTGTTTTAGACGGCTTCTTGTATGTAGTTGGCGGCACCAATAGGCATAATGTACTCACATCGGTGGAAAGATACTCATTTGAACAGGTGAGATCATTCAATACCTGTAAAGCTGTATGAACAGTGTAATTGTTATTATGCTCAAATATATTTTGGTAATGCAAAACAATGAAATAAAATATTATAATTCATGAGTTTTGTATTTGGAAAAGTTTTTTATTGACTTTCATTACATTAATAATAATTTTGGGATTTGTTTTTCTTGATCATTTTCTTTAAAATGTTCACACACTTGAACTTTTTCATGTAGGACAATGATTTTCTGTCCGCTTCTTCCTTTTCACTTCTTTTTCCTGAGAATGTTGTGGATAAGTTTTTTCCTCGACAGTGGCTTCATGCCATCCTCTCTCTGCATTTGTTGTGTAGGCAGGGTTCTCTTCCTCTTTCCTAGATGTGGTATGGTGGGGCCAGAGTTTCTCTTACTGCTGGTCAGGGTTGACCCTCATTGGAGCCGGATTCTTGGTCGGATTCTTGATGCTTCATGTGGCTGATTCCTCCTCTGCTCTTTGGTGGCACTCTTGCTCCCCTAGATACTGCTGTTTGTGGTTCGTACTGGCCCTTTTTTGTGGTTCATCTCTTTGATAGGGTTGTGTGGGGCAGTTCATCTGGTTTGCCAACTCCTGTTCCCACTATTTGAGAGTTTTTGGGGCTGTATCTTGAGGCCTTTAGTGAAGTTGGTCATTCCTTCTCCCTTCAGGGGGTCAGGGCTTTTGGGGTAGGCCTCTTCCCCTCAAATCTGTCAGTACAAATCTGTTTGCTGAGTATAGGGCTCCTGGTATGGTTGAAATGACACTTTTTCTGGGGTTGTCTCGTCTCTTCCTGTTCCTGAAATGAGACTCGGTGGAGCTCCGCTTAATTCTCAATCTTTTTGGGGTTTCACACGTTCATCCCCTGCCCCACTTTCCGCATGTCCACTCTGGCTGGCTGAAGGTTCATCCACCTTCATGCATGACCACTGGCAGCCAGCCAGCCAGCCAGCCAACCAGTGATCTGCCTGCCCAGAATTGTAATGCCTATGGGTTACGTCATATAGTCCCATATAAGTTGTTAAATCCTTACTTTCTGGTAAAAATGAATCTGCTATTTATCAAATGAGGTATGTTGTTGATTGATGCTTGGTTTGTCCAGCTGGAGGTGTATCACTTGTGTCCAATGACAGTTCTTCACTGCTACCTACAGGTCGCCAATTTTGTTTCGGTGGATGCCATGTTGGTTGACCATTTCCCAGGTCCCTTGTTATAAGGCTGTTATATCCCAGATTGTCAGCAGTGTTATAAAATCTAGACAGCCTGCTGTCTGCACTTGGTCTCATGATGTTCACAAGTATGCTGTTTTGGTTGGCATCTTCTCGAACATGTCTTGGGCTCATGTTTGGGGCTGAGTTTTTTTGTGGCCCAGTGTTTAAGTAATGTTCCTGGTCCCAGTTAGTTATGAGTTGCTTTGGTCTGTGTCTCATTGCCTGAATTCTTTCTCATCATATTGCATGCAGCTTCTCCTTCCTGGTAAGTTCCGTTTTTGTTCTCTGTGGTTAGCTTCACGGAACCACAGGGGACTCCCCCAGAAACCTAGCATTAAACATAGTGAAATGGTTTTCTTAGATGAGCTCTAGTGGCTCCATGTCTCCCTCCCTCCATACCAGGTTAGTTGGCTCATCAGTTGGCTGTTCATCAGTTCCAGATCTGATCAATGAGGATGGCTGCACGTGTAAGCTGGGCCACCTTGTGGTGTGGCATTCAGTATTATGAGTTTTGCTCTAATTTTGAATGTTTCTATTGTTCTGTGTGAATCATTTATGGAGTTGTTTGATAGTTTTGAGGCTTTTTCTTGGTTAACTCTCCAGTTGTTTGTAAAGCTTTTAGGTGACTTTCTGGATGCTTTTCCAGTGTGGTAGTAAATTGTTACTTGCTCTCTGTACCTCTGTGAGGAGGATGTCAGGTTTTGGCTCTGGTCAAGGGTAGGCTAAACAGAACTCTGTGTTTGATGTGACCCATTTGCATGCAGCAATCTCAGAGAGATAACTTCAGGGAGCCACCGGGCTCATCCAGAAAGAGGAATTTCATTACATTCAATACTGTGTTTTTTGTATTGTATTTTCTCCTTTTCAGTCAATCTAACTCGTAGGCTAACAAGACTTAGAAATTTTCGTGCTTAGATTTGAAAGGTTTTGAAATCTCCGCATAGTTTTCTTTACATTATGAACAAATTAATTTTGATCATGACTGATAAATCAGTAATGCTAGTATTCACTTAAATAATATTAAGGATTGTGAGTGGACATTGAGCCTAATTGTTTTCTTAGTATTTATTGTGGAAAAAGTAATCATAGTTTTTTAGTTTCACATTTTTTGTATGTACAGTACTAAGCACCACTTACTCTTCTCAACAGGACAAATGGTTTGAGTGTCCACCAATGTCTGTTGGTAGAGCAAGTCCAGCAGTTGCTGCCACAAACTCTCTCTTGTATGTCATAGGTGGTGACCAAACAAGTGAAGTTAATGATTTCTACAGAGCACAGGTAAATTAAAATAAATTGTGTATGCAGGTATATTGCTTGTGATATTAATCCTAAGACAAAATGTAATTTTTGGAATATTAATTGTTAGGAATACTGGGCTAGTAAGTATAGCACTGAAGATAAATGTTTGCAATTTTGAGCTAAACATTATGTACCAGGTACCTTCTTTACTCTTTAGTACTGTATTTATATATGGGACAGTGAAATTAGGGAAGATCATTCAAGTTAACATTATGCAAGCTTGCATTAAAGAAAGTAATTAGGGACATAATCCCTTGAGCTGGATGCCTATTATTCCCTAACAACCTTGTGGCATGATGGCAAAAATTAATTCAAATTTTTAATTTTAATATTCTTAAAATGTTGTTCGCCTGTTCACGGGGAAAAACCCAACGTTGAATGTAATGAAACGCCATTTTCTGGGTGAGACCCGGAGGCTCCCCGAAGCTATACTGGGCAGATGTGTATATATCTGTCATCAACCAGGTCAGGCACCCAGAAAGGTAGGAATCTCAAAACAAACTACAGCTGGTGAAAAATTGCAAACCGAAAGCCGAATAGGCAAGCAGAACTTCCCAATCAGAAAACAAGCAAACAAGCATGATGTCAGACAGCCGCTGTGCTGCTGTTTGCACAACTCCCCCCCTTCCTCCCTGAGAGGGGGAAGGGGGAGCCCCAGGCCCCTCGTGCCAGTTATCCAACCTCAGTTCAGAGGCTGAATATCAACAAATGCAAAAAAAAATTACTGACTGGAGAGAGGTGGGGGGGGGGGGGATCGTCCCACCATCGTCCCACTCGCAGGTGGGACACCATCACTGAAGCCACCTGATCACTATACAACTAGTGATAAACCCGCATCAAAAAGATCAGACGCGAAGATTGGAGGAGAAGATCGAACCAGCTACGTACCGGACAGGACCGATCTGCTGAAAGAGGTGGAGCCGCGGGTAGACCCTCGGGTTCGGAGTCGGAGCAAGCAGTGCCAGAAATCAAGGCACCAACAGAACTATTCTCTCCTGGTAAGTCTCCAAGCGTACCAGGAACTGGAGCAACAACCGAACTGGGGGCAAGAGGTACAGGAAGCCTGACCTAGACCAATCCAGTTGAAAGGCATATACCCTGACAGCCTCACAGTCGGGAAAGGACGCTGCATTCACTGGAAGACGCCTTAACCAGGCCGACACAAACGTCCTAGGCACCCGAAAGTCCGGTTGACACCAACGGAACGAGTTGACGTCGACCGTCCATTCAGGTCATCTACCAAGACGTTGGACACTCCCTGGATATGAACTGCCAGGAGAGCCAAACCCCAAGAACTCAGTAGACCAGTCACCCGAAGAGACCACCCCCAAAGAGCCTAGGACCGCATCGAACCCCTGCAGTTCAGACAATGAACCACAGGGGAGCAGTCCGAATGGAGCCGGATCATTAATCCCCAAGTGACACGAACCCTCTGAAACGATTGCCACGCCGCTGCAAACTCCTGCGTCGTGCTGTAAGCCCGATGGAAGGATGTACCCCACTGACCCTGGCCGGTCTGGTGAGCACTGGTCACAAAGCCTCAGCCGAGAGATGAGGCATCAGTGAACATATCGAGCGAGGGCTCGGGTAGGCGCCAGGGCACTGAACTCCGAACAACCCAAAGAGGAAGCTGGTGACTCGGCAGCAAAAGCAAGGGCCCCGGGGTTCGAACCCAGAGATCGCGAGAGCGGTGGAAAGCACATCCCCGAAGGAACCAGAACTGCCGCTGAAGCCAGATCTGACTTGACGGGTAGACCAGCATGGCAAAGTTCAGACTCCTGCACAGCAACTCGAACAACTGACGAATGACCCAGGTGTCCTCCAAAAGCAGCTGAAGGCGGGACTGCTGCCGCAGCAATGCAGCTAGAGGGAGAGTTAAAGAAGCGGTCTGAGAGTCCCAGACAAGACCCACTCAAGTCCAAACCTGAGAGCGAACCAAATGGGACTTCCTCCAGTTCACCAAGAACCCGAACCCGACGAGCTGGGAATGATCCAAATCCCTGGCGAGCAGACACTCAGACTGGCTGGAAGCCCAGACCAGCCAGTCATCGAGATAAGCCAAAACCCAAACCCCTAAGGGACGCAAACGGGTCATCATGACCCGGGTAAGGCATATGAATCACGCGAGGTGCCAGATTCAGGACGAATGGAAGGCAACGAAAGCAGTAAGCCTGTCACCTCACAATAAAATCTAGCCAGTCCCTGAACCCCAGATGAATTGGGAAGTGCCAATATGCATCCCAGAGGTCCAGGGACACCATCCAGCACCCTTGCTCCAAAAGCCGGGCCAGACCTGGGACAGAGAAGTCATCTGAAAGGAGGGTCAAAAGACCCAGTGGTTCAGATGGGACAAGTCCAGGATGAACTGCAGGATCGCAGTCTCATTTTGGAACTGGAAACAGGCGGGAAACCCACCTGAGGGGATGCCGTCATTTCGACCATGCCCAAGCGAACCTACTCCAGGATGACCTGACAGAGCACAGTGGAAGAGGCCTGTCCCGCCAGCTCCGATATCCTCGAAGGAAGGAGGAGGAGCCATCCAACACCACCGCAAGCCAGAGGAAACGACCCAAAAGGCCCACGAATCATGGGACCAGGCAAGAGCAATCAGCGTGAGCCTCCCCCCCCCCCCCAATCTCCACGTGAATGGGACTGACCGGGAAAGGGCCAACGACCCTTACGAGAGCCTGACCGACGCTCAGAGCGATCGCTCCACAGGAGGGGCCGGCCCCGAATCTGGCACCACTGGCTTATGACAACCAAAAGAACCCTGAACCCTGGCACAACCCTTCTGGGCAGGTCCACCACGGCCCCCACCCCCTCCCGGAGAACCAGCAGGTCCGACATAGGCCGGCAACTAGACGAAGTCGCCTGCAGAAAATGTACCGCTTCAGAGTGCAAACAGCAATGGACAAAAAAGGGACAAAAATCAAAGAGCCAGGGTCCAAGCGGATTCCAAAGAGTGGACAAGTACCACCTGTCGGCAAGCTAGGTGAGAAGTAAAGAACAGACACTGCTTCCTTCAGAATCGGAGCAAACAACTTCAACAAGGCAGCTGACACCCGAGCCTCTAAGGCATGCGCACTGGGCACTGGCCTGGAACCCAGCTCCTCCACATCCTCCTCGAGCTAGTCCGAAGACAGCTCCAGGAGGGAAAGGAAGCGCAAGGCCAAAGCCAAATGCCCACGGGCACGCAAACCCTCAGTGAGCAGCGACCTTCATGCCGAAAGGGAAGGGACAAGCACATGAAGCTGCACCTGGCCGATTTCGCAAGGAAGCACAGGGGGCGAACAAACACGCATTGAGGTGCTTAAACTCGTCCCAAGTCGATTCCCAAAGTGTCTCCTACCAGGTAGATGAGGAGCAGCCATATTGTTGATCAAATGTCGAGGCCTACTCCGTCTACCAGTTAAGCACTCGACTTATAAGTTATTAACTATAATTTAGGCAGTCTAGTGATTACTAGTATATTTAATTAGTTTGACCAGAGTAATAAACGTAATGTTTAAATCAAATCCGAGCCAAAGCTCAACAAGCAGCTGGATGGTCTGAATATTAATTCATAAATGAAATTAAACTAACCTGATGTTTGTGAGAGTCAAATCAAATAATTCTTTATACAGTCCACTGACTACTTATCAGAATTTTCCCTCATGAGGTAGTTTCATGATGCGTAGATTCACCAAACAATTTCAGTGCTGTGGCTGCCTGCATCATGCTGTGATCATCATAAACAACATTGTGTTCACTGAGAAAATCCACTAGGGCTGTGAGGTGGATGCAAGCCTACGACCCTGGCATTGCCAGTTGCGTACTCTACCACTAGACCACCGTAACATTATTAGAGTAGAGTACGCGACTGGCAATGTCGGGGTCGTAGGTTCGCGTTCACCTCATAGCCCTAGTGGATTTTCTTATTGATATTCTGCATATCATGTTAATGTGATTTCTGTGGGACTGTGTTAAATAATATCTGGACATTGTGCATAGTCTTTATCACAGCCTAGAGCTTCTATGATGCTGTCATCAGAAAATAATAGCAGTTACTTACATACTTTCAAATTTTTAATTGGTGCCATGACCATAAGCTGAACAGTGGTGCTGTTAGCTCATACTGCATACACCACCCTTAGTTGTTTATTTAGTACTAATATCTTCACACCCAGGAAAGTGTCCATGATTTTTTCTTAAAAAAAGCATCTGTTTACTGATGGCCTGAGAAAGCCCATGTGAGCCCTGTATACCTCCAGGACTTTTAAATCTTACACAGTACAGTACTCTATATCATCCCTGTTTGACTTGTGCAGTTTGGTCAGATATGCCAAAAATATTCCTGTATGACTCGCAGTGGAACGGTTAATACTGTATACAAAATTATTTAAATTGTGGGCAATACATACACATGTTTGTACCTCACATGCATTATACAATAATGCAAAATGTTTTGAAGCTATAGACTGTAATCTTTGTTTAAGGTTACCATTTGACCTGCACAGTATCACCACTGATACCAAACTCATACTGTATTGCAAATATTTTTTTGCTCCTTTTTGCAGGTAACCATTGCACATGTTGAGTATTATGACCCCAATACTAATCGATGGCTTGACTGTACATCACTGCCCGAGAGTCGATCCGAGGCAGGGGCAGTTGTCATTTGACCCCCTCCTCCTCCACGGCAACCTCCTCGACCTACACGCAGAAGTCGGAAGCCTCAGGATAATGACAACCAAGAGTGTCCACATGTTGTACGAAAAAGGAGCATCAGTCGTCAGTCTCACAGTCCTAGGCAACCAGCCTAGCATTTCTGATTATGTGGACAACACTTACATAGAAAGTACAGTACCTTGAATTTATCACATTTTAGATACGTCATTGTAATGTATTTATTGAAAATGCACTTCTGCAAGGATCACTTGCTGCTGAATGTTAAAAGTAATTCATTTTAAGTAAAAAAAAATAAGTACTTTCATTATTTGTGAAATTATATCTTGTATATTACATGAATATGTTATAACCCATTATTCAGGACAACTTAAACTGAGTTTTGAAGTTTTCTGTAGGCTCATGCATATCAAAATAACTTTGAGTGTATTACTGAAAATCTGAATATTTTTTGATGGCATGAATTACCTAAATGTTCTGAGAAAAGGAAATAATGGTATTGGAATTGAATAACATTGTTGAATATACTGGTATTGAAAATGATGGAATTGAAATTATGGAATGTGGCAGCAATTTTTGAAATATGTATCTTACAACTCTAAAGCATATCATTCTCCATACTTACTATGCATACAGTGAAGTGGAAACAGAGTCTTGTTTAAATATTTGTTAGGAAGAGCCCTCTTATAATTGTTATGCCTTATACAGTACTATCAATGCTTACGAAAATTGTCAAAAAATAATGAAATTTTCACCTAGTTGCACAAGAGAAAATAAGAAGTTTTCTTGTTAGTATTTAATAGAATACAGTATTTGGATTAACCTGCAGCATGTATTCCTATATTCACATACATATAGATACTCAGTGGGTCTTTGTGGGTTGATCCTTCTTCCTTGGTTTCCTGTTCCAAGGCTTATGTTTCTCAGGTTGTCATTAAGTCCAGTGTCATTAAGTCCAGCCAGTTTGCAGTCTACCCTCGTAGACTGATGATGTCCATAAGTATGCTGTTCTTGCAGGGGTCTTTGCTAAAATGTCCTGGGCTGATATTCTGGCAAGGGGGTTTTGCAGTCATGGTGGCCTGGTATTTAGTTAATATTCCCGGGCCTCATCATACCTGCGTTATCTTGGGTCATCTTTCTCAGCCATATGTCTTAATCTTGATTACCTGTAGTCTCTCCTCCTCTTTGGTAAGCCAGTGGTCTTTCTTATCTCTGGGTTGTTCACTACAGGGAGCCACAAGGGGCTCTTCCCCCCCCCCCCCAGAACACCAGCATTGAAATGTAATGATGCACCGCTTTCTGGATGTTGAGATCCTTGGTTCCCAGTAGATCCTTGATTCCCTTCCAGGCTCATTAGTTTTTGCGCTCTTCACTTCTCCAGAACTGGCTTGGGAGTCTGGGGAAGACCTGGGTCTCTGCCCCCCCTTCTGTTTGCCAAGTTAACAAGTTTGTGCAAGTTTTAAGAGATTTGATCATTTGTTTACATTGAGGTTTTGTTCTTTTGAACTCGGCAGTGGTGTGTATTGAATTGCTGCCTTTCTGGATGCTTTCCTGGTGGGGGTGGCAGAGAATCGCCTGCTCTCTCTTTGCCTCTGTTGGGGAGTTGAATTCTGGCTGTGGTTCTCGGTAGACCAAACAGTACTCCATGGCTGATGTGACGAAAAGTTGGGATCCTTCTCAGAGATAGCTTTGAAAGCCATCTCAGCGAGATAACTTCGGGAGCCATCAGGGCTCGTGCAGAAAGAGGCATTTCATTAGATTCAATGCTGGTTATTTTTATTAACAAGTTGCCTTCTTGCAACTCTGGAAACAAGATGTTTTCTTTCTCTGTCGTGATATAGTATTACATCCGTCAACTTTAAACTGAAAGTCTAGATGGGCCTCCTGAGGAAGGACCTGCTTAGCAAACACGCTACCTGCAGTAAGCAGCTCATTCCCCACTCTAGAGACCATAGAACAATTGTTTAGGCTCGAGCAAATGCCAAGACCTCAAAAGTATGAAATCCCTACCACTTAGGCAGTCGACCTTCGCCATTCGCTGGAGTGAATGTAACGAGTAGGTCACGGGTTCTCGCAATGTATTATTTGTTGTGTGGTGCTATGAATTCAGCTCTACGCTCATGAGGCAGTCAAATGAATAGCAATAATAATTTCAGGCAGTATGGTAGAACAAGTGTAAATCAATAAAATGTGTGGGGTGTAACAAAAGACAGCGTTCAACATAACAACACAGTTTATTCAACAGAGTACTAACTACAGCAACGAAAAATATCAATGACGTTACTCGAAATCCTTCCTATGACACCTTTACGAAAGTTAGACACCAGCCATGAGTCTGACTACAAGTTCCTTCCTGCAATTGCGTTGTGCTGCATAAATGAACTAACTTGAACATACCGAGTGTTCACAGAGAAATCAATCGAGCAAAACATACTAATCTATAAACACTAATGCAACAACAAGGTAGGTTGGGAGACAAGCCTCCTGCAACCTCCTGTCAGTTATTTTACGCTTCTTGCAGCCCTCCCCCTGCAATGGCAGTTGCAATGCAATCAAACTAGTAGCCTATCATGACATTTACAATGACTAATGGGGTTACCAGCAACTCCAGCAACCCTCCTTGATTAAATTCTTACGTTAATACTTTGTCCCTCTGACGATCAACAATCAACGACTAATTGATTACGTTAATATTAAAGTAACACTTACGTTAACTTAATCTTGTCTACCACAGACAAATCAAACTGTACAACTGTCACTAGTAACTCGGAATTACACAAACACTACCCGTCGAGCATTCAGTAAGTAATCCCCATTAATCCCAGTACGAGTTAAGGTATTGGTTACTATCGCCCCTCGATAGTTTACTACAATTTCTATATCCAAAGTGCTAAAAGAACGGCAGTCACCCTTGACTACCCTCGAGCAATTGATTACTATCCCGAAAATCAATAATTAATTAATAAACAAATATGTCGCCTTTCACATTGGCTCAACAAATATAACATCGACATGAATTCCCTCTTGGGTCTTCCATACCCCGATGAACTCGGGTGACTAGTTCACAATCCCACAGACCGATGACTAATCACCATGTCTACGTTACTTTAACAATGACTTTACTCTCCCAAGAGAGTAAAGTCAATCAAATTACCTGTCCACTGACAGATATTAATAACCGATGTTACGTTAATGAAACAATGTAGCCTTCGTGCGAGTCGATCAACCCTGATCAGAGTTAATTACCTTGACTTCCGTGAACCCTTATTACCTGTTTAACTGACAGATAATATGCAACAGACAGTACTTGAATGCAAGACTTTAGCCCTCCCAGAATTCCTACAACCTGTCTGACTTCGCCTGAAGTGGCTGCTTGGCTAGGCTCCCTGACCGACCAAACCAGCTATTCCTTGGGAAATAATTAACCCAAATGTATCTTACGTTACTCATATTGTCTTAAGAACAATTTCTCTATAAGCAATGGGTGTTTCCTTGGTTACGTTACATTAATTGTCCTCCCAATCAACGTTCACTGAATGTTGGACTTTGATGACAACCAAATATACAGAATAACAACACCAAGTACTCGTCCCAATGACGAGTTCGCCCACGACACAATAAATCACAACACTCGGTGATTTAAAACTATTACAATCCGGTTGCAATTTACAGTTACTGCAGAACACCAGTAAATAACACACTCGGTGTTCTATACTAGTAGAACACAGGCCAACAATTTACTGAACTACCATAATGCCACACGCGGTGATCAATTAACACTATTAACGATCACGGCCCAACAGTTTGCAAGCCCTTTGCAATGACAAACACACGGTGCTCTAATTGCACTTAATTAGAACATGGCCCAACACTTTGCAACCCAGTTGCAATGACAAATTACTGCAACCATAGTAATAACACACTAGGCTTCGTGATACTATAAATATATATCGTTCCTGCTGACCTCGCCTGTAATCTCAGCTATTTAAACGTTAATGTGGAACACTAAGAAGATAACACACTCCCAGTCAACTTGGGCAAGTGATTAGCGATCCTATGGATCAATAAATACTCCTGTGAATTTACTTTACTCGACAGAGCTGTCAGCTGTTATTCCCGACAGCGACGTTACTCTCACTTCACCACAATTCCACCATACACACACACATACGTCTGCACACAACAGTACAAGTCCTCTCTTGACTGACAAGACGTAAATAGGGGTGAAAATCTCATGCACTCCGCGCTTCCCTTCACCTAGCAGGTGCTCTAGAGACAATGCGAGTGGATCGCCTGACCTCGAATTCAGGCTTAGAGATATTAATCATCAATACGCACAGGGGTAATTACTCAATTATACGGCCAGTGTCTCTCACACACATCCTACCATGCATACACACACTGCTGCACTTCTTGTAGTGGGTAGCCACCCCCTCAGGGCGGCTGGGTAGGCTGTGAGTAGCCACCCCCTCAGGGCGGCTGGCTAGGCTGTGAGTAGCTTGGGAGAAGTCTCGCGCTGCTCAGCTTGATTCGTACGCTACCTCATTTGGGCGGCTTCACACCAGCTCAGGGCGAAGCATGGCATTCGTATAAAAAGGCGCCAAACACCGAGTCTCTCTGTCTACTGAAATTCCCACGAATTTCTATGGGAAAACTGCCCTGAACACTGGCAAGATATTCCCAGATCTCTCCACTGCTAAATGACAGTAGCAGATCAGATTGAGTCTGATAACTGGAGATGGGGCTGCATCTCTATGGATGGGGATGATAAGGTAAAGTGCATCATGAGCATCAATATCCTCAATCCTCCCATCTATCCTCTTAACCCTTAACATGCTCGGGGTTTAATATCCTGTCATCCCCACAGGCGCATGTCATTTTGAAAAAAAAAAATTTATTTTTCTTTCTAACCTGTTAATTTGTGTTCACTGATCACGGGAAAAATAATAAAAAAATCCTAAGTGGCATATATTGCCCGCTATAGGGCGGGGAAGTCTGGCAAATTATAGGCGCTGACTCAGCGTGCGTCCCAGGCGGTCTGTTGCTCGCAAGCTGTCAGGCCAGAGTTGCCACAAAGAGATAATTACCAAATTATTTCAATGTCTCTGATTGATTTGTCATACTTTTTTTGCTGTAATATTATTCAATAGTGTGTAGTTTGATATATTTATA